AAACAGAAAGAGAGAGAGAGAGAGAATTTTGTCTCCACTTTACAATGGAAAATCACAGTGTGTTAAATAATTTCCAGTTTTATCTCACATTTAATTGTTCCAAAGATAAAATCGAGCATTTTCTTTTTCTAAACTATCCCCCCCCCACACACAATTGCTAGGATGTACTATCTAAATATATGAATATGTATGTAGAACTACCCAGAAATTATAATCTAAAGAACCAAATTAAGAAACTACTGCGTCCTTGCAAAAGTGATCAAACTGACAATAAGTTGCATACAAAACTGAAATGACCAAGACTAAGTTCCTTTGTATTTGTGAAACGTGGACTTATTCTGTCATTTTATATTCTCTTTTACAAATCATTTCGGTATTAGCTTTAAGCCTTACAGAACATCACATGTCAAAACATTAGCAATAGTCTAGAATATACTATTCAATTCATTAAACTGATGTGATTCACAATACAAGGTCTGATTTATCTGCAACAGCTGAAGGAATTTTTCAAATGGGCTTAAAGTAAAGCTGAGAAGAAGCTGCAACAATATCCCTTCCAACAATGTGACTGCTGCCCTCCTCCCAGCAAGGGGTGAGATCTAGTCTCCTCTCCTTATATCTGGGTGGAACTTTGGGCCTTTTGAGACTACAACTCTGGCAGAAATGACGGTATGTGATTTGAAAGCTACATCAGAATCACGATGCCTGTGTTTGGAACCCAGCTGCCATGCTGTGCAGAGGGCACAAAGTAGCCCATGTGGGGAGACCTTATGAAGAGGCCATGTGCAGGTGTCTCGAATGACAGCCTAGTGGGGGTCTTAGCTGAAAGCTAGTCTCAGACATCGTGCAGCAGGGATAAGCCATTCCCACTGTGTCCTGGCTGAACCCCTATGCCACAGAATCTGTGAATACAAATAAGTAGCTGTTCTCTGGCAATAAATTTTGTGGTTATACAGCAATGCTTCTGTTTGTGTTCAGTGTCATCGAGTCAGTTTCAGCTCACAGCGACCCAATCTTTAACAAAACAAAACACTGCCCAGTCCTGTGCCATCTTCACAATTGTTATGTTTGAGCCTGTTGTTGCAACCACTGTGCAGCCATCTTGAAAGAGGAAGGGTAGGAAAAACATCCTTGGAACTTTCAAAGCACAACTTTGTAAGCAAATAGGGTACAATTTGGAATAAGTGGGAAACAAATACAAAAAAGTGAACAGGCCTGGAATACAGCTTTCTTACTGCTATGGGTTGATTTGTGTTTCCCAAAAGATACACTACAAGTCCTTGGTACCTGTGAATGCAAACTTACTTGGAAATAGCATGTTTGCAAATATAATTAATTAACAGTGAGAGACTCAAAAGGAGAACACCATGTGAAAACAAGCAAAGTGATACACTTAACAAACCAAGGAAGGTCAATGCCTGCTGGCAGTCACTAGACACTAGGAGAGAGGCAGGGGACAGATTCTCTCTCAGAACCCTAAGAAGGAATTGCCACAACTGGCCTGCTGACTTCAGAGTTCTAGCTTGGGAAACTGCAAGAGAATAAATTTTTGTTGTTTCAATCACCTAAACTGGTTCTCTGCTATGTCAGCCCTAGGAAATTAATAATCAGCGGTGAGGTATGAAGCTGTTCTTCCGGGGAGGGGGAGGTCCACGGACGACTACTATGGAATATAAGACAGCCAACCCAAATAACTTCAGAAGCGTTTAAAGGACTAATTCCATTAGATACCATGATTATATATAATTCATCAAATCAAACAATAGCCATTGTGATAGTTAAGGTTTATTGTGCCAACCTGGCTGATTCAATGTACATTTACCCCTTATATAAAACTCTCTCATAAAATATGAGTATCTATGAATTTTGTTTCTCTAGTCTACCCAGACTAACACAGCCATTAAGAAAATATGTAAATATATATTTATATATATCATAGTCTACCTTATTTTAAAATGGAGTGCATGTGGCAAAAAGTATTTCATGTTTTAGTAAAAGATGACATTGTATTTTCCCAAGGCTTTAAAATGTTCTTTCATAACATGATTGAGTAGATATTTTTCATGGCCATACAACAATTACATATATTAAAATGTATTTAATCATTCCCCACTTTTAAGCATTAGGCCATGTCTCAACTTTTACTATTATAAGCTACACTGTGATAAAAATCTTTATATGGCGCTTGTTAGTAGCATCATTGGATAAAAGGAAATGAGCATTTCTTGATGTAGCAGAATTGCTTTCAGGAGAGGTGTGGCAGTTTACACGCCACCAAGAGCGTAAAAAAATATCTAACTCAAACTCTCACTAGCATCATGTTTCTTAAAACTAAAATGATGCATTTTACCAACACAGTTAAGATGTTACAGATACGGAACAAAAGATGTTGTAGTAATGAACTACTGATACTGAATACACAGTAATATCCATTTAAAGGTTTAAGTTTTGCTTGAGAAGAACATTTAAGTTACTGGAACCTTTTACAGAAGAGAAGACTCATAGATATTTGTTGACAGGTCCAACTAATAAATGAACAACTAACTGAATCAAAGAATAAACAGACAAAAGAGCCAGGATACTTGAATTCTGAGTCTATTTCGTCACGATCTATACATTAAGTAAATTTGGGCTCTTAAAAAATCCATTCTCGGCCTGGTAGGGATTCATCAAAGGCAATGTAACTGAGAGAAATTACTGAAACCCAAATGAAGGCTGAGCATGATAGTGGGACAAGAAGAAAGTAAAAGGAAATAGAGGAAAGAACTAGGAGGCAAGGGGCACTTATAGAGGTCTACATACAGGCATACACCTATGTAAATATATTTATATAGGATGATGGGGAAATTGATCTATGTGCATATATTTATAGGCGTAGTACTAAGGCAGCAAATGGACACTGGACCTCCACTCAAGTACTTCCACAATGCAAGAATACTTTGTTCTATTAGATTGGCATTCCATGATGCACACCTTCCTGACAGAATCACTGAAGACAAATGTGTGCATAAGCAAATGTGGTGAAGAAAGCTGATGGTGCCTGGCTATCAAAAGATATAGCGTCTGAGGCCTTACAGGCTTGAAGGTAAACAAGTGGCCATCTAGCTCAGAAGCAAAAAAGCCCACATGGAAGAAGCACACCAGCCTGTGTGACCATGAGGTGTCGAAGGGATCAGGTATAAGACATCAAAGAACAAAAATCCATACCATTGTAAATGAGGGGGAGTGCAGAGTGGAGACCAAAAGCCCATCATCTGTAAGTAATGGGATACCCCCTTACAGAAGGGACACGGGGAGGAGATGAGCCAGTCAGCGTGCAGTGTAGCAACAATGAAACATACAACTTTCCTCTAATTCTTAAATGTTTCCTCCCCTCCACTACCATGATCCCAAATCTACCTTACAAATCCAGCTAGACCAGAAGATGTAGGAACCGGAAACACAGGGAATGCAGGACAGATGATCCCTTCAGGACCAGTGCTGAGAGTGGCGATATCAGAGGGTGGAAGAAAAGTGGGGTAGAAAGGGGGAACCAATTTTAAAGATCTCCATATAATCCCCTCCCTGGGGGACGGACAACAGAAAAGTGGGTGAAGGGAGATGTTGGACAGCATAAGACATGACAAAATAATAATTTATAAATTATCAAGGGTTCATGAGGGAGGGAGGAGCTGATACCAAGGGCTTAAGTGGAAAGCAAATATTTTGAGAATGATGAGGGCAATGAATGTACAAATGTGCTTTACACAATTGATGCACACATGGATTGTGATAAGAGTTGTATGAGCCCCCAATAAATTATTTTAAAAAATCATAATATTTACAATATCTATTCTTATTTGGCAAGGGAGTATCAGGGGATGGTTACTAGGGTTCCATACAGGGTTTCGATGTGTTTCTACATGTCTCTGTAATCAGGGAGGGCTGCAGATAAGCTCTCTCAGTAATATACTTGTATCTTAGTCTTGTTAGGGTATTTTCAACTTGGGGGTAAAATAAAAAGGTCTAGTCTCAAAACAGAGGTTTCAGAGTAGATCTACTGGAGCTAGAGTAGATATGTGCATTAATATCTCTGAAGCACTACACAAAAAACCTGGATAAAGTGTGGCTTAATATAGGGATGGCAGTATATGATAGGTAAGAGCAATGACTGTGGTTTCATAAGGCTCATGTTCAAATCCTGGATTTGACCCACTTACCGACTATGTTCTTGTACAAATTACCTTGATCTATCAGTCTCAGTATACTCATATGGAAAGTAATCTGGGGTTAAGTAAAACAAAAATGTAAAATGTCCATATACAGAAGGTACTCAATAAATGATAGGTGTCATTATTATAAAGGAGTCCTGGTGGCAAAGTGGTTATGTGGACTGCTAGCTGAAAGGTGAGCAGTTCGAAACCATCAGCTGATCTGTGGGAGAAAGATGAGGCTTTCTACTCCTATAATCAGAGTCTCAGAAACCCACAAGCGCAGTTCTACCCTACAGGGTCACTGTAAGTCTGAACCGACTTAACAGCAGTGAGATTTTGAGTTTGGTCATTATTATAAGGAATCTTGGTCATGCAGTGTTTAAAGCATTCAGCTGCTAATGATGCCCAATGGGGCAGTTCTACTCCATTCTATAGGGTAACTTTGAGTTGGTATCAACAGTAGTAGGTTGGGTTTGGTCATTATTATATTCTAATGTTACCAACAAAATGAACTTCCATGGAAAAAATATAATTTTAAATAGAGTACTAGTGCAATTTCAAAATATAAATGATCAGATGTCAGATGATTTGTGTGTATGTGGAAATGATAACCCAGGATTTTACTTTTCCTTATAGCTAACACTGCTTTGTAGAAATTATCACATGTTCTTCCAATTATGAATTCAATCGTTCAATAAGACTAGCAAGTACTAATGTACAAAAATTTAGCCGAAACATAAACAAATCACTTCCCTCACCCCATGATTACAAAATAACCTAAGTTGTTTCTTAACCAATATTCCTCACATCGCTTAGTTGCCTGCTGCTGCAGGGTGGTGTGGCTCCGTTGGTGTTCTGTTTATTCCCTGCCTTTAAAGCAGCATCTCGTCTTGCTTGTTCGAGTAGAATTCTTGCTCTTTCTTTAAGTTCTTCTTGTCTGGATAACATTCTTTGCTTAAAAACAAAGATACAGAATTAGAATAAGAAAAACAGATGTACTCTCCATTTATAAACTAATTACTGGTTAGACAATCTTTCAAAACAATAGAGGCACACAGGAGTAAAATTAGTGTCACGAGAATATATTTTCCTAAGGTGTAAGGGTCCACATGTATATTACATATATTCTTCATAAATACAATGTAATCCACCAAAGACATTTTTATAAGTTTCCAGTTTTATTGCAAGTTGTTGCCAAATGGATTCCAACTCGTGGCAACATGATGCATGTTAGCGGAGAACCACGGTCTGTCGAGTTTGGGCTAGTTTTCTGAAGGAGATCACCAGCTCTTTCTGCTGAGGTGCTTGTTTCTGGCTAGACTTGAACCTCCAACCTTTGGTTCCTATTAACTACTTCCACAAAGGGAATCCTCTTTTTTGGTAATCTTGTAAGATTGATAACAGGAGTCCTCATGGGGTAGCAGTTAAGTGCTCAGCTGCTAACTGAAAGGTCAGTGGTACGAATCTTCCAGTCACCCCATGGGAGAAAGATGTGGGAGTCTGCTGCCATAATGATTTCTACAGCTTTGGAAACTCTATCCAGTAGTTCAACTCTCTCCTATTGGACCACTATGAGTTGCAACTTGATTTACGTAGTTTGGGTTTATAGAGTTGACACGACGTGTCTTCCAAAATTTGGGTATTGATGCTAAATATCTGGAGTAGTAATTCTTTAGACTTTCTAAATCAATATTTATAGAAAACTCAAATCTTCATAGCTTGTAAAAAACTATAAACCTGTTTATAGTACTTGTTATCCCCAAAACCATCCTATCAGAATTGGAAGAGAATTTTCCTGGACTAATCAGCAATTTTACAACAAATCTTTGAAGGATAATAGGTATCATCTACCAATAGAAATCAATAATTAAGTAGTTCTCATGACTACAAATTATTTTCTTCTAAAGTAACCAACTTCTGGCTGTAGGTGACTGTTAGTACATTTAATTTCTTTTCCTATTTTTTTCTTTGCATAGCTTTGGCTCCAAACCAAGTGATCAATCTCGGCCAAGAAGGTGGTCAGTAAACAGGACACCTATCACTTCATTTGGTATAATGTGAAACTATACTTCTAAGTGTACCATTAATGGATTGTTTGGGGGTCTGTTTCTGATCTTTATATCTTACTGTAACTATTTTAAAATCCATTTCTAAAATATTTGACAAGGAAATATTTTTTTAAAGCATACAATTCTGTGGTTTTAGTACCTGTATATTCACAAAGTTCTAATTCCAGACGTTTGTGTCACCCAAGAGCTCAAGGTTTAAACCCAAAGTTTTAACTTAGTAGATACAATTGAAATGCTTAGATTCTTAGTTCATGCTGATCAAACATAATGGAAGTGGTCATTGCAACTGACTGGTTACAATCACAAACATTTTCTCAAAAATAGTAATTAAATAATACTACACTGATTTTGGTCAAGACACTACACTGCTAATCCCTCTTCTAGTAATAAAGTGCAATGTTAACAACTGAGCTGGTCACTTAAAAATTGCCTCTCATTATACTACACAGGGTTTTCAAACTTTGGAGTCAGACAGATCTGGGTTCAAATTCCAGCTTCATCATTTAATGGTTGGCTATTTACTCAGTTTCTCTCAGGCTGGGTTCTACATTTAGGAGTGGGGATAACCACAGACCCAAGCTCAGAATGATTAGGCAACAGAGAGTAGCACACATCACACTGGCACAGAGGAAGCACTGGATAAATGTTCAATTATTATTACTTTTTCAATCCCTTTATTTCCTTATCCTTGAAATGAGAGGAATTAGAGATCATCTGTAACAACCCCACAAGCACAAAATTCTGTGATTCCACAGGATTTAATGATCCAACCACAGTTTCACAGACATGAAAAATTGTGCTGGGTCTTAAGAACACAAACACAATTTATTTTTTCAGCATATAAATGTAATTCATATTCATTTAGAAAGCTGCAAATATAGCATACAAGCAAAAAGTAAAAATAATTAATAACATGGCCCCCAGAGTATACACTGTCAAATCCTGGAATTTCTACTTCAACTTAATATTGTGAACATTTTCTTACGTCCTTAATTTTTTTTTAAAAAAGCATGATTTTAAAATTAGCTATCTGCGTGGTGATTACACTTTGGGATGTGATCCGCATGGTCCGGAGTTTGAAACCAACAGCAGCTCCTTGGGAGACAGACTGGGCTTTCTACTCCCATAAAGTTACAGTCTTGGAAACACACCCGGGGTGGCTATGAATCAGATTTGGGGGTCCAGGATTGAGGGAGTCCCTAGGTGGCACAAATGAGTACGTGCTTAAGCACTGGTCTAAAGGCTGGCAGCGGGAGCCCTGCGTGCGGTCTGGAGATGGACTTCGGAAAGGGCACAGTCTTGAAAACCCTAGAAGCCGTTTACTCTGCCGACACGGGACCACCCGGGCTTCATAACCACTCAGTGGCACCACCACCGCCTTCCAGGATTTTGTCAGCTGGAGGCATCCGACTTTATTTAGCCTGTCCTATTTTGGTTGACATTTAGATTGTTCATATTTTCCCACTATCGTAAATGCTTCTGTGATTATTCTTATATGTAAATATGTATAAAATTCTGATTATTTCCTCAGGAAATATTCCTTGAAGTGGGATTTAATGAGACAAAACATTTTTACGGAATGTAATGCATATTGTCAAATTGCTCATTAGTAAAGCTAACAGCTTTAAATCTAAGTTCTAATTATATTTTACTATGATTATGTGTTAAAAAAAAACACAGCGATGTGGTTAGCATAGCATTTAGGAACACAGATTTTGGATTTAGACATGTTGGTTTTGAACTTGAACTAACTTCAAACCTTATGTGACTTGGGCAACTCTGTGAACCCTGGTTTTCCCCTATATAAAATAGGATTCATCTACTTACCTCGTGTAATTATAAAGTTTAAGATACGTGTAAGGCATTAATCTCATGCCATCAATTTTAAGACTCACCATCATTATATGAACTACTAAGAAAGCATAAACACTGCCAATTAAATGCTGACAAAGTACTAAGTGGCATCTTGATTTAAGAGAGGTTAGATATGTAAAAGGATGTATAACTTAGGATTGATGAAACACAGTGTACAAAATAAAAACTTATGGAAAAATGTGTGCCTTAGGACTGAAGAAATATAGTAGCTACCAGAGTAAACGCCTGGTCTCCTTATATTAGTGTAGTGGGTTATGCACTGGGATGCTAACTACAAGGTCATTAGTTTGAACCTCCCAATCACTTGGCAGGGAAAGATGGAGCCTTTTGGTCCTGTAAAGATTTATAGTCTTTGAAACTCGAAGGAGCAATTCTCCTCTTCCCAATGGGGTCGCCATGCATTGGAATGGACTGTATGGCAGCGCACGTGTACGTGTGCGTATGTATGTCTTCAGTGTAAGCACCCATACTACTGTGTTTGGGGTCAGACACTACTTTGACCAATCTGGTGCCCACAACATTTAAATTTACCTTAAATTAAATTCTGACCAGTAAACCAATGTCCAATGAATAAATAGATGTTACTTCTGTCCTCTAACAGATATATCTGCACATCACTAAGTCATTTTAATAGAATCACAGCAGGGTAGAGTTTTTAGATATAAACCACCACTTAGCGATTATTTGCTTAATGCAGAAGATGCAAAATGGTAAAATGGCTACTTACTAGGTCACCCGGCGAATTATTGACAAAACCACGTGATCAGCCATCTACAATCAGTTTATAAATATGGTAACTATCCTTTGGTTTTTAAGAGGTATACTGCTTCCCTGACCAGATTATTTAAAATTTTTAAATATTAACCAATTTATAATTTTAACTAAACATATTTGCTTTAGGAAGCTGGTTTACAGGGGAGAAAAGAAACTCCGTATTAGATATTAGCATTTCAGTCTCACAACATTTTGCAACTGTTAAACTTCGGCAAAGAAAGGGAGGGCAATCTATTTCCAAAAGAAAACCAATCACTGAAAATCCCACGGAGCAGTTTTACATACACACACACACACACACACACACACACACACACACACACACACACACACGGCCTATTAGTTGGAATCTACCTGATGGCAACTGAGATGGTATGGTCACTATGCTGCTCTGAAAGCTTGCAGAGAGAGTGAAGTTCTAGGACCTTTTATTCTGAGATTCTTTTACCAGTAGAACAAGGGTTTGCTCTGATAGCTCCTCTATCACTGATTCTATGATAAAAAACTGTTTAACCCTTTTGAAAATTTAAAATTGATGGCATTTGACAATCTGTCATCCAGGTGGCAGCCCAGGCAGCGTGGTCACTGTATATGTGAACATGTGCTGCATATTCCTGGTAGCATAACTGCAATCACTGATGTCACATTCAACAACCACTTGTGGATTACTTGAGAAAGGAATACAACTCCAAGTTACTGCCTCAAAATCTTCTGTTGGAAACTTCCGGTAAGGTCAAGAAAGTGACAATTTATCAATGAGTGATTTAGCTTAAAAGAAGTCCCAAAGATCAGGGTACCCTTCTTTAAGAAATGCAATGATTCAGAGAATCTCTAACTTTTTGTTCTCAGATACTCCTGGCACTCGCTCAGTGCCACCGAGTCCATTCTGACTCATGGTGAACCTATAGACTTAACCATCACTGGGGACCCCAAAGAGCTTTTGCTTATGTGTGCTATATCTATTGGTATTTGTTACTTTTGTGATTAAAGCTAAGAAATGTAATAGAAATTATTTATTTTTTTCCTTTAGAGTAAACTGTTAAAATAGTAAATTCTTTACAGGTTAATGTATTTTAATAGTTTTTTAAAAGCATTACTTTTGTTTTGTTTTTTTAGCTCTCTCTCATATTTGGCTTAGTAGAAAGCAACTGGATCCTCATACCTAAATTTCTATATTCAATCTGTTGAAATAGTGGCAAATCATATAGACTCCAGAAAATGCTACTGTACATTTGTGAGAAAATGAGAGTTAAAAAAGGTAAATAGTGCCCTAGTATTACTATAAAAGTAGGACACCAAGGAAAAATAAGAAAGTGATACAGGAGTCAGAGGCTACATATGAAAGTTTCAGGAAGCAGACAGACATTGGGTCTCATCTCAAGTCCTCCTTCAATGCAAGAACACTTAGTTCTAATAATCTAGCATTCTGTGATGCTCACCTTCCTGGCATGGTTGCTGAAGACAAAATGGGTGCATAAGCAAATGTGGTGAAGAAAGCTGATGGTGCCCTGCTATCAGAAGATAAAGCGTCTGGGGTCTTAAAGGCCTGAGGATAAACAAGCAGCCATCTAGCTCAGACGCAACAAAGCCCACATGGAAGACGCACACCAGCCTGTGTGATCATGATGTGTCAATGCGATCAGGTATCAGGCATCCAAGACCCAGAACAAAAAATCTTATCAAGGTGAATGGGGGACACAGGGTGGTGGTGGTGGCATGAAGTGGAGACCCAAGGCCCATCTGTAGACAATTGGACATTCCCCTATAGAAGGGTCACAAGGAAGAGATGAGTCAGTCAGGGTGCTATTAGTACCAAGGAAACATACAACTTTTCTCTAGTACTTTAACGCTTCCTTCCCCCCCACCCCCTCTGCCACTATCAGGACTCCAATTCTACCTTACAAATTTGGCTAGACTAAAGCATGTACACGGGTACAGATAAGAGCTGGAAACACAGGGAACCCAGGACAGATAAACCCCTCAAGACCAACCATGAGAATAGAGATAAAAGGAGGGGAAGGGGAAGGTGGGGGGAAGAAAGGGGGAACCGATCACAAGGATCTACATATAGCCCTTTCCTAGGGGGATTGATAGCAGAAGGGTGGGTGAGGGCAGACAGTGGTTAGTGTAAGACATGGGGGTGGGGTGGGATTTATAGAATATCAAGGGTTCATGAGGGGAGGTGGGGGGAAGTGGGAGGCTGATATCAAGGGCTCAGGTGGAAGGAAAGTGTTGAGGGCAGTGATGGCAACTTGTGTGCAGCTATCCTGGACATACATAATGGATGTTATGTATGGATGGTGATAGGGGCTGTGGAAGCCCCCAATAAAATGATTTTTAAAAATCCAATCAAAGTTCACAGATTACATTTTTCTTTTATTATTATTATCTTTTAATTAATTATATTCCAGGGGGAGGGGCTCTTGCAAATCTTATGACAAATCATCAATAAATCGTGTCCAGCACATTTGTACATATGTTGTTTCAGCCTTTTCCAAGGCGTTTTCTTTCTGCTTGAGCCCTTGGTATTGGCTCCACTTTTTCCCCATTCCTCCCTGACCCTCCTAGCCTAGTGAATCCTTAATTATATATTCTTGTTGTTATTTCGTGATTTGCACTGTCCGTTGTCTTCCTCCACTCACAATTCTGTTGTTCATCCCCCTGGGGCGTGGGCTATATATATCCAAACTTGTGACGGGTCACATATTGCATTTAGATGTGAGTCTGAATTGACTACACGGCCGTGGGTTTGGGGGGAAAAATGAGGCTTTTATCTCACTGAAGACAGTTCATCTGAATCTTAAAAATGTTTTTGTTTTCCAAGACACTGATGATTTTGAAGGCTCTAGGCCAGTGTTCCGGTAGAATGGCAAGCTTGCTAGGTTTGATGCTGTTTGTTATTTCATGATTAAAAAAGCAGTTGCCGTGGAGGTAAAAAAAAAGTCAGGAAGGCTATAATCAGTTTAATTTGCCCAAAATTAAACTGTATACATAAGTGTTATATGATAAAAAAATTAAGGTTAATATAGCTCATTCCATAGGTATAAAATAAAAATTCTAAGTGATAAGAATATTATGAAACTTCATAGTTTTTCCTTTCTTTGTGGCATATCTTATAATTGCTGTTACCAAAATGTTCATTAAATACAGTAAATACCTGTTCATGGGGAGAAATCTGAATGCTATGGGAAATTTTAAATCACAAGTAGCAGTGGGACAGAAAATACAAATTCAATGCAACTAAGGTATATAAGGAAAATGCTTTAAAATAAGAAATATATAAATTGTCCTTATACAAATTCAGAAGGATGTTCTTACTAAGTGGAATATTGAAATGTCTTTGACTTACTCATATTAAAATAGCCTTTAATAGGTACAGAAGTAATATTTTTATTTGAAAAGTTGACAGTCTCATTCTTAAAAGTGGGATTTATTTATAGTTTTAAAAAAATGATACTATAAATTTTAAGTCGAAAATGGATATATTCCAGATTTTTCTCTGGTGAGAAAATATATTTCACCTTTAAGTCACTGTAACATCTAAAATGAGGTCCTAAGTACATCTTTACATCTTAAAGTGTTTTATGAATAAAAAAGGAAACAAAAACACCGAGTAACTATTTATTTAACATTCATTCATCATCCTAATTCACTTACCTGGACTGATTTTGTGGGATGATCTGCATGATTTATAGTGGTTCTGTCAGCATCTGGATCAGACTCTGTCTGCCTCAGGGAAGTACGTTTTTTCTTCGCAAGGTCTGCATCTCTATTGTATGAGTACCCAAGTTTAGAAGGAGGAGATAAACTTGTCTTTTTAATAGGCGACTCAGGATCTGATCTGCATTCTGAGGGTCCGGAATTCTCCGATTTTTCTTGCTCCAAGTTACTATTAACTTCTCCTGTCTGAAGCTTCTGTTCATCTGCCTCCTCACAAATTACGGGTGAAGACACAGCCTTCTTATTATCGCTAACATATAAGTCACTTAAGTCTAAAATCTCTGTTTTCAATAGTTTCTTCTTGCCTAACGAACCCTGTGCTTGGTTTGCATCTGTGTTGGAACACGTTCCATGGTCATTAGATCCTGAAGTCCTCCCAGAGTTCTGCTGGGACTTTTGGGGTTCTGTGTCACTTTTAGTCCTGCGACAGTAAGGGGAGGCTGTGCTTGGACTAAGATGATCGTCAGGAGTCTGATGCTCACTTTCTGACTCTCCAACCCCGCTATCATTTACAAATACGGAGTCGTCCTGAGATAAGAAGTCTACTGCTCCGCTGGTAGGCTGCTGTTCAGGCTCCCGCTTCAGATCACTAAGCTCTGCATAGAACTTTTCCTGATCAACAGAACTGTTTGGATCTGTTTCATAGTTTCCAACTTTATATGTGCTTTTACTGCTGTTTTCCTCTATCTGAACGACATTTAGTTCTTGGCCGCTGAAATGTGCCCTTATTTGATAGAGATAAGTCATAACAGTCAGTTTGTCAGGAATGGCTAGTAAAACCATGTCAGAAGGTTCCAATAATCGGGAAATTCCTATGCTGGCAAATCCATCGTATGCCTTCAAAGAAAGGAAAAACAAAAGGTATATTGAATAGCCCACACAATCAACGCATTTTTAAAATGTGAAATATTAATTTTTTTCATTTCCCACCCCCAGCAACATTTTTGCAGACTCATAACTGATGGCATTTTACAATCAGACTTGGCTTGTTTGTTGCTCTTAGAGGACATGTTATGCATGGATATATGTTATGTACCGACATCATGACATATGACAAGAACAAAATTCTCAAAGTCAGAAATTTATAAAAGGGAGATAGAGGCATTTGAAAGCATCTTTTCTAGTAAAGAAATTTAGCAAAAACGTTGAGTTAAAACACACAAAACTATGTTAGAGTGGATTTTCCCAATAAGGAACTGAGGCATGAAGAAACATTAGACAGATCAATCGCAAACGCTATCATTCCTGGCTCTTTTCTTCATAGCCATGTAATTGTAGTGATTTCAGAACAAAAAATACAGCTAGACAACCCAAAGGAACTAGCTCCCAGATTACCTGACAGAAACTCCAAGTAAATGCTATTTAAGCCTAGACACATAGAAACATTTTTTAAATGCCCATTTAAGATTGATTTTCATAATAAGGAGAGTGACTTCATTTTCACTTCATCCATTTTAGAAAGACTAAATTGAGAACTACAACCCAGTTGAGAATGTGAGGCTGCATTGTATTATTTTTGTTAGCCTTTAAATGACTGTGGCACATCAGGTTTTTCTAGTTTTAAAGAATCAAAGCTGTTTCTCAATTTACAATTAATTATTACTATCCTGAACTAACCCTTGAAAACAGCATTGTGTATCTTAGAAGCATTAATGTTTAGCTATACTTGGGAGAAAGGAAGGTTCCTCTTGTAATAGTCTTACTTTGGGGTGTAAAATACCTATTGCTCTTAGCCACTTATATTTGGGATCACAACTCAAGAGTATTACTTAAATGTTAGTAAGTCATGTAGCAATTCATGTTAAAGTGCATTTCTACCTTTAAATTTAATCTTTGTCTCCTACTATTTTTCCTGTAGTTTAATAACTGTTGTGGAACAAGTAAGAAAGAAAATGAAAAATAAATTGCAATATTAAAACCTCTTCAATTTTCACAGCACTCGGCTCCATACTCCAGGCACCTCAACAGTGACTAGAGAGCATGGCTCAGTGGGTGTGCGTGTGGAGGCTTGTTTGTAGTTTTACATGTTTTAGGAAAATTAAAGTCATTTTCCTCCTCATGCGTCTTGACAACTAGATTGACAGACATCAATTGCAGACCATCAGGAAAAGCACCACAGGCAGTATTCGAAACATTTCCCAATTATCTAAAACACCGACACACTGGTTAAGATCAGATGTCACCTTCTCTATTCAGCACTTTTTACAGACCTGGGAAAATGATTAACTTCCTTGTGGGGGAACTCCTGCGGGTACTATGCTTCATGTAGCAATTCATTTTATGCACACTAATTGCACTAAAAAACATTTAAAAACAAACCAAGTTTCTTGAACACTAGGTCAAGAAACTTCCCCGGAGGTTAACCTCTTCTGTTATGGTCAATCACTTACTGTCTTTATAGTTGCCTGTGCTCAAAGGGAAACAAAAGTCTTTCAAAGAAAACTGTCTTATTTGTTCCTAGATGTTATTTTAATTGAGAAAGAGGAGTCACTGTGAGCTATGTTATGTGTCTGCCTGGAACTTAAGACACGGGCATTGTTTCTTGGCTGCAGTTAGTCCAATCCAGGGCACCTGGGGTTATCAGGGAAAACCGCGTAAAGCCGGAAATAAATCTGCAGGTAGCCAATGAGATACTCAATGTAGATACCAGGCAAGAAGTTGCGAGGTGATGAAAAGGAATGACTACAAAAACAATCACTTATTGAATAGCGCAATGAATAAGAGCATCTAAATTAAAATTCTCTCAGAGAACCATAATCATCTGGCCGGGAAGATATAATTGAGAGAAAAAAAATGTAATGGGATATTCTTTTTGGTGTAGTAAAATGTAAATCTGAGATCATGTTCATCATTATAGTTCCTGAAAAAGCAATATCAATGAGTGTCATTAAAGCTCTAAGGAGATTCCTTACATTCTTTAGAAATATAAAGGTAAAATCAACAGTGTTTCCTTCTCAAAATTTTGGGCAGAAAATTGAAAGGGCCACTTTGGAAAATATTGATGGTTTCTTTATAGAATGCTTATATCCTCCTTTGAATTAGTTTAATATAGTATTCAAATGCAAGCATGTGCAGGTAAAAAATATACATCTAAAAAGATAATTTAAATTAATTGATGAAAAATAAGGTATTTTGACTTTGATAGATGCAGTTTCAAAAATCATACAAAAAATAATTTAGGACATGACTTACTTTGTAGCATGTCATTATAAAATTGATTGCTATAGAGAAGACTTGTTAAGTCTTATTTTTAAAGGTTGCCTTTCTCTGGGGGGATATTTCATTTAAAAAGAAAAATTTTTAATGTGTTACTTTGGGGCTAACGCCTAGTAGTCACATACACACACACACACACACACACACACACACACACACTAAACTTCAACCAAAGAAAAGTAAAATAAGATATACATTTTTAGTTTTCCGAGCGCAGGGAAGCAAGCATTTTTTTTCATTTAAATATCTGTCTGTTAACTGAACTTCTACAGTTTTTTGTTTATAGTTTTTGTCAATGGCATTTTCAATAATCTACTTTTGATTAGACCAAAAACTAGGCCAGAGATTATTACCTCCTTTACCTGTGGACCCTTTTAGCATTGTGCTGAAACTTATGGAAACCCCCTGGTCCCCTTCTCCCCCTTCTCAGAAAAGGTTTTAAGTAAGTGCAAAAAATATGAAGAGTGTAAATGAAACCAAAAATTTTGAAAAATAAACCATCAGAATATTAGTAAAACCACATTTGGTAAAAAGTAATGCATAGACATTTAATGAACACATTAAATCAAGTAATTTTGAAGATATTAGAAGTTTAAAAGGCATTTAGAGATATTTTCAGAGAAGGTATGAAAACACTTGTGATTTTAAAGGTTAAAAATTCTTAGGTATCACTGATGTAACAGTAGTTTGTTGCCAACATTGAAAATTCAAAGTAAAAATAGTGAGAGAAAAAATTCCCTAACTGTGCTTCAGAACCCCTTGAATTCTGTGCACAGATCCCAGGTTAAAAACTCTTGCTGTAAGACATTTCACTCCCTCGAAAGTTGAAAGATGCAATTAGTGCAAACATCCAACCAAAACAAAAGAACCCATCAACTTAGCACCTACTATGTGCAGAATTAGGTGTCTCCCTTCTTTTTCATGTTTTGGCACACAGAAATTTATAATACTGCATGGCAGGCATTGGGGTAAACAGGGAAGTCAGCTTGCAGCCACACTCAGTCGGCCCAGTGGACTCCAGCAACTTAGGCCTACACGGCTGCCCAGAAGATTGAAAGGATCCATATCCCCCAGACGGTCAGGAAGCGCTGATCACAGTATATTAGTTAGTTATGTGGGAAAATATAGCATCTATCAGAAAATGTAAAGAACAATATTCATAGTCTTTCTATTTCTAGGAACCTAAAACTCCTACGCATTCCTTCTTGTGCACCCACGAGGTTCCCTGTGTCTTCTCCCATCAAACTGTTCTAAAACTCATGTAAGAGTACCTGTAGGTGGCACGACAGTTTGGGAGAAAAACAACCTGTTTTAACAAATACTTACCCACTAATCAAGCCCATACCCACATTGTATTCTGACAGCTGACTTGCATTTGCGGTGGCCTTAAAAATTCACAACAAATGAGAATAACCGAGAATCCTGATTGAAGTACAGGAAGCAGAATCCTTTCTGTGAACCGCAGCTATGACCTCACAAATCACCTAAATTCATCAAATTAATAAAAATCTGCAGAGAAGCCCATATTTAATTAAACGATATAGATAAAATCCCCCCTGTGGCAATTCTTACCTTTTTGTTGTTCTCTTTAATATCTTGAGGATTCAGAGACTTGTAGTCACTGAGAGAGAAAAATGCCACAGTGGATACATATGGTATTTGACAAAACAGCTGTTTTTAAAGCAAACTGCATATAAAAATGTATTTTTAATATTCAATAATATAAAATTCAATACCAAATTCATTCAATAATACCAAAGAGTAACTAGCAATTTCACAGCAACACAATCAACAAAACTAATAGTGAGGAAAATGGAGGAAATAGATAGATAGACAGATACAGTGATCACATTGCCTGCAAATTTCATTGCCTGAAAGTTCCCATCTCAAAGAAAAGTTAAGGCAGGGGACCAGAGACAAGCCTTGACAACCAAAATTTACCATGAAGTAATTCTTTGTTGTAAACATACAGGCTTATTTGTCTCATTTCATTTAAAAACAAACACAATTTTCATAATATTTTGAAGATGGTTCTTTATATGAGATTAAGGAGAATTTTTTTTTTAATGTTTTAAAGGAAATGATTGTTCTTAGGTCTCTACAAAAATAGACTTTTCTTCCTGGAATATATTTCTTCTCTCAAAATGCAAAAGGGGGGTTATTTCTAATGAAAAGGCAATAAACAAATAAAATCAATTCAGGACATGCACAAAGAAATGAGTTTCTGCTATTTTAAAAACCTTTAAAAAACAGTCATAGGGACTGAAAAATGTTTTACTTACATTAAATCTGGTCTAAAGTGGTGTAATATTGCACAAAAAGATAAACCATTTCTCCATGATGTAGTAAAATTGGTGATTTTTACTCCCCGGTAGTTTTTTGTAACTTCTTTGCACCATACAAGCAGTGACTGACTAGCATTTGGCTTTCGCCCCGAAACAGGACTTGGTATAGGACTTGGCTAGAAAGAGAAAAAGAGGAAAACATGAAAAGAATTTAATGGAAGATGAAAATTAACATTAATTGACCTAACGAGATCATCTGAATCCTTTGATGTCAGGTTAGGCCCTTCAACGCTGTCATTTCATGACAATTGTAACTTGCAACAGGGAGACATGAGTCAAGTTATTATCTTCAGTTTTAGCCCATGGCAGTTGCCTGACAAGGAAATAGATATACAAGATTTTAAACTTATACATAAGAACAGGCCAAGAGCTATATTGATGGACACATCATGTTAAAGCATTTAAATACTTAAGACTAGCTATCTGTATAACTCTCATACCTTAAATACAAATATACTTCTCTCAACTAGAGTAAAATAATACATTTTGCAGTCTAACTAGCACAGAATTGTTAGTACTAGAAGGATCAAAATCATCCTTTGTTTTAAATACAAAAACCAATGCCTCTTAAATAAGCAACACAATGATAATCATATTCAAACACCCTTCTTATATAAATATAATGATGGCAAAAGTAGTTTGGGAGCTATTAGCAACAGGTAGTAACAGTAACAACACACAACAGTATATAATTTGGGATTATTCGGGATGTTGTTCAATCAGTATTGAGAGCTACTTTAGATTACAAGGAGAGTAGGTTGTGTGTATGCTAAATCTGAAGGAGATACTGGTCGCTCATCCAACTTAATCCACACTTAAATTAAAAATGACAACAATGAAACTTCATAGCAACGTTTTTATTCCAAACTTTTGTTATTCTGAGAACCATGTTTTATTGTTTTAAAGAACAAAAATTTCATTGTATGACTACAAAGGCTGATACAATTGAAAACCCATAAAGAAAAATACTAAATATTTCAATGTTTCCGAACTTTTAAATCTTGCTATCAATTATTGTTATAAGACTTAGACACAGAAGAGGTTCTTTACAATAAGGTAAAAAGAGAACAATTATTTACTCCGTGTATCATTTAAGTGTATTAAGAAGGGTTTCTTAACACTGCCTACTTAAGAAAGAGCAACGATGCCTCCATGTGACAAAGCATATTAGCACCAAGCCATTAACACCGTCATTCCCCACATAATTATGATTTATGCATTCAATGCTTGTGTTGGGAGAGTGTTAAGAAGTGCCAAGAACATAATTCCTCATATTTTATTAACTGTCAGATTAATAAGTAGGTATGTAAGCAACAATAAATCTAGCAAAATGTTATTCAAAGAATCCACCTGTAGAAAGTCAATGCTGAAAAAGCAACAGCTAATAAAAACAAATAATTTTGAATCAACTATTTGAAGACAAAGATGCAGGTGAAAATGGAATTCCTATCTAATCAGTTTATCTTAGAACCTATACAGTATCACCTACAAAAGCCAGACCTGGGTAAGGCAGAAACCCATTATAGAAGGAAAACTCGAATATGTTTCACTAATAGCAAACGATAGAACGTGGTAAGTTATACCCTGTCAAAGGCAGAAAACTTTCAATAGCCCCGGAAACCAAGGCGGCCCTGGTGATTTTCAATTTTTAGCATTGCAGTTTTAACAATCAAATATGTGTAAATAATGATCCACTGTGTCTTCCAAATAACCTATAGTCACATGAAGTGGAGCGATCTATAGATAAACTCATGGGATCAATGAACTGGTTGCAAACATTTTTTTCTTAGAATCCTAGTACTTAAGAGCCATGACAGTGCAGGGGGATGAGCACAACTGCTAACCCAGGCTCCACTGGGTTCAAACTCATCAGCTGCTCAGCGGGAAAAATATGAGGTCAGGTGCTTCTGAAAACCCTACGAGGCAGTTAATTCTACTATGCCCCGCGTAGTCACTAGGAGCCAGAATTGGCTCAGTGGTAGTGGGCTTATTTGGTTTTATTTTTATCTATTACTTAAATAATTTTCTTTGTTAAAATGTTTTTCTATATAAAATTATATTATTAAGACAGTGATGCATTTCAAACATGTTTTGAGCCAGATGATTTGTAATTATTATTACTTGAGTCCTTCTGAATATGAGTAGGTAGCACTTACATAGAGTAGCTCAAGCTCCAAGCTCCCTGCCATCATGTCAACTTTGACTCATTGTGACCCTATAAGGCAGAGTAGACTTGCCCCCGTGGGTTTCTGGGACTAAACGTTTATGGGAGTAGAAAGGCCACATCTTTCTCCCAAGGAGTAGTAGCTGGTGGGTTCAAACTGATGACCTTGCGGTTAGCAGCCCAATGTGTAACCCCCTACATCACCATAGGTTAGGCAATGTACAGATGTCAAGATCATGTTATGATCTAGAATAGCTTTCTGTATATAAGAATTAAAGAAAATATGCTGTCATTATGATTATAAAAAATCCTTGCATACAACAAAGCTCACAATGAAAAAAGGTACAAGAATTGAACCAAAATTTTGAGTTTGTCCTAACACAACAGGGCCTTCTATTAAAACATCTTCATAGGAATGCTTATTACAATTCCAAGAAAAAGAAGTCATGTGTAATTGAAGAAACACCGATGAAATTACAAACACTGTAAATATGGTCAGGTTGGATTAGAGCTATTGTTAAATGAATTATCCACCCCAGAATTGCTGGATTTTCAACTGATATTTTGCAAAGGGTCACAAAAAAATCAGCAGCTAAATCATTTGGGAATCTTCAGCATGTAACTAAATCAAAGTGCTTAAGACTCCAGCAATTGCAAGTCCTTGAGTTTTATGTACCGTATGATCGTGATGTGGCAGGTACCTGACTTCTCTTAGTTTTCTCATCTGTAAAATGGGAATTGTGTTACTTACTTCTTAGTGTTGGTGTAGTAACACCTTCATTACCTCTTCTGGCATCTACCATTCTCTACATCACTTTGAACCATATTGACCTCTTAATATTTCCTGAATATGCCAGACATTTTCCAGCTTTAGGGGCTAGCCCAAACTCTTCCATTTGTTTGGACACTCTCAGCTAACTAGATGGTTAATTCCAGTGTGGCCTCCTCCCGCAGATTAACTCTGAACACTTCCTTTAGTAATACAACCCATCTTCTTGTCCAATCCCACCCCAGCATTCCTGGCTCCCCTGACCTTACTTTATTTTCCCTACAGTATTTATCTGTTGACAGTCTATATGCTTATATGCTATATTTATTATGCTTATTGGTTATTATCTGCCTGCCCATAGTAAATAAAAAGACCATGAGAACAGGAAACTTTGTTTTGTTTGCTAACCTATCCCAAGTGCCCAGAAGAGTTTCTGGTACATATGAAGCACTCAATAAATATTTTTAAATGAATAAATATATGCAAAGCAATTAACAGTGTGTGGCACATAAACATGATGTGGTTAGTAAATATTAACTGTAATGATTATCACCACTATCAATACATTATCAGTACGAGATTCCTTTTTTTAGCCTCTTTGGAAACTTCCTAAGGGCATGAAATTCTTCAAATTAGTATTTCTTTGCAAGTAAAGCTTTAAATATATGATAATCTCGATGCGAGCTTTAAATATAAGATAATCTCGATGCCTTGTGTTAAAAAATGGCTGAGTGTACTTAGCTAAAATTAGCTAAAGAAAAAAAAAAGTCTGCATGTCATTAAAATTTATTTCCCAATAAGAAAAGAAACCCAAATCTGGCCGTAGAGAGTAATGTCTGACTTTCAAATATTGCAATGACTCTTTAGCAGTTCTTTTTGTAACTTTCCAGTGACCAGACAGATGAGTGAGAGGGCATTATCTATTTAATATATTGGGAAAGTGAAGCATAGATATTAAGGTTATCTTTTTGATGCATTTAGAGAGGGAATTTATAAAAGCTTATCTAATTATAATTTACGATTAGAATCATCGGTTCTCTTTAACTATGTGCACCTTCCAGCTCTCTCTCAATCAAGCCACTGTCGGGGAAAAATTGCATTGATCTAGCTTTAACTGAGAACTAGAATTAGATGTCAACCATGATGATTATGCAGCTAGTCTGAAGTAAAACCAAATCCACTGTTGAGCTGATGAATTCACAGCAACCCTACAGGACTGGGTAGAATTGCTTCTTATGGTTTCCAAGGCTGTATCTCTTTATTGAACAGATAATTTCATCTTTCTCTTGTGGACTGGATGGTGGGTTAGAACCTCTAATAACTCAGTAGTCCAATACTTAGCTCATTGCACCAGGGTCCCTTCATCTGAAGTGGTCCCTTAGGTCTGAACAAACTCCAAAACCATGGCTGCAGAGTCAGATCTAACTCAAACTGACCCTCCATGACAGAGTAGAACTGCTACCTGGGGTTTCCGAGGTTGTACATTTTTACGGAGTACCCTGCAGGGTCTGAACCACTGATGGTTTAGTTAGAAGCTGAGTGCCCAGCCACTGCACCCATTAGAGCTCCTCAATGGCAATAGGAGAGTAGGAGTAGAAAATAAGATCACTATTTCACTTAATAGTTCTATGTTCTATTATGCACAGTATTCATGTGTTGTTTCTATTAACATAGCACATTATAGATAATTTGTTTGTTTGATGGTTTCTACTAACATAGCACTTTATACAAATAGTTTGTTTGTTTGAGATGAACTTGCTTGTCACTAATGACACCAAGTCCACGTCAATTTTACCTTTTCTCCTCCCCACCTACCACCGCCATGCCACGCAGACCACTGCTGATGTTTGCGGGATTTGTTGTTATTTGAAAGATACAAAATAAAGACATAGCAAGACTACCTACTTATTTTTATTAAAGACAGTTGCTGCATCTCTTTCAGAGAACTCAAATAATTTATTGCCAAGTTTTTTGTATTTCAACAATGATGTTTTCCCCCTTTAATGTATCTTCTTCTTCCACTCATCTCCTCATAGGTACATATTCCTGTAGCTATGGCTCTGAATAGCTTCCTTTCTCCATACTTTATGAGCTGAGCCGTTCTCAGAATTCCAACTATCACTTCTATGCAGATGATTCCCATATATAAATTTATAGTTCAAACTCAAGTTGACATCTGCAGC